ACAGGGTGAGTACAGATGATCAGGGAGGGAGGGAGGTGTGTCTCAGGCCAGAGCTAACTGTGCCACCGACCATGGTGCCAGCATCTTCTGTGACAGGGTGAGTACAGATGATCAGTGAGGGAGGGAGATGTGTCTCAGGCAATAGCTAACTGTGCCACCGACCATGGTGCCAGCATCTTCTGTGACAGGGTGAGTACAGATGATCTTGGAGGGAGGTGTGTCTCAGGCCATAGCTAACTGTGCCACCGACCATGGTGCCAGCATCTTCTGTGACAGGGTGAGTACAGATGATCAGGGATGGTGGGAGGTGTGTCTCAGGCCATAGCTAACTGTGCCACCGACCATGGTGCCAGCATCTTCTGTGGCAGGGTGAGTACAGATGATCAGTGAGGGAGGGAGGTGTTTCTCAGGCCATAGCTTACTGTGCCACCGACCATGGTGCCAGCATCTTCTGTGACAGGGTGAGTACAGAGGATCAGGGAGAGAGGGAGGTGTGTCTCAGGCCATAGCTAACTGTGCCACCGACCATGGTGCCAGCATCTTTTGTGACAGGGTGAGTACAAATGATCAGGGAGGGAGGGAGGTGTGTCTCAGGCCATAGCTAACTGTGCCACCGACCATGGTGCCAGCATCTTCTGTGACAGGGTGCGTACAGATGATCAGGGATGGAGGGAGGTGTCTCTCAGGCCATAGCTAACTGTGCCACCGACCATGATGCCAGTATCTTCTGTGACAGAGTAAGTACAGATGATCTTGGAGGGAGGTGTGTCTCTGGCCATAGCTAACTGTGCCACCGACCATGGTGCCAGCATCTTCTGTGACAGGGTGAGTACAGATGATCAGGGAGGGAGGGAGGTGTGTCTCAGGCCAGAGCTAACTGTGCCACCGACCATGGTGCCAGCATCTTCTGTGACAGGGTGAGTACAGATGATCAGGGAGGGAGGGAGATGTGTCTCAGGCAATAGCTAACTGTGCCACCGACCATGGTGCCAGCATCTTCTGTGACAGGGTGAGTACAGATGATCAGGGAGGGAGGTGTGTCTCAGGCCATAGCTAACTGTGCCACCGACCATGGTGCCAGCATCTTCTGTGACAGGGTGAGTACAGATGATCAGGGAGGGAGGGAGGTGTGTCTCAGGCCATAGCTAACTGTGCCACCGACCATGGTGCCAGCATCTTCTGTGGCAGGGTGAGTACAGATGATCAGTGAGGGAGGGAGGTGTTTCTCAGGCCATAGCTTACTGTGCCACGGACCATGGTGCCAGCATCTTCTGTGACAGGGTGAGTACAGAGGATCAGGGAGAGAGGGAGGTGTGTCTCAGGCCATAGCTAACTGTGCCACCGACCATGGTGCCAGCATCTTCTGGCACAGAGTAAGTACAGATGATCAGGGGGGAGGGAGGGAGGTGTGTCTCAGGCCATAGCTAACTGTGCCACCGACCATGGTGCCAGCATCTTCTGTGACAGGAAGAGTACAGATGATCAGGGAGGGAGGTGTGTCTCAGGCCATAGCTAACTGTGCCACCGACCATGGTGCCAGCATCTTCTTTGACAGGGTGAGTACAGATGATCAGTGAGGGAGGGAGATGTGTCTCAGGCCATAGCTAACTGTGCCACCGACCATGGTGCCAGCATCTTCTGTGGCAGGGTGAGTACAGATGATCAGTGAGGGAGGGAGGTGTTTCTCAGGCCATAGCTTACTGTGCCACCGACCATGGTGCCAGCATCTTCTGTGACAGGGTGAGTACAGAGGATCAGGGAGAGAGGGAGGTGTGTCTCAGGCCATAGCTAACTGTGCCACCGACCATGGTTCCAGCATCTTCTGTGACAGAGTAAGTACAGATGATCAGGGAGGGAGGGAGGGAGGTGTGTCTCAGGCCATAGCTAACTGTGCCACCGACCATGGTGCCAGCATCTTCTGTGACAGGAAGAGTACAGATGATCAGGGAAGGAGGGAGGTGTATCTCAGGCCATAGCTAACAGTGCCACCGACCATGGTGCCAGCATCTTCTGTGACAGGGTGAGTACAGATGATCAGGGAGGGAGGGAGGTGTGTCTCAGGCCATAGCTAACTGTGCCACCGACCATGGTGCCAGCATCTTCTGTGGCAGGGTGAGTACAGATGATCAGTGAGGGAGGGAGGTGTTTCTCAGGCCATAGCTTACTGTGCCACCGACCATGGTGCCAGCATCTTCTGTGACAGGGTGAGTACAGAGGATCAGGGAGAGAGGGAGGTGTGTCTCAGGCCATAGCTAACTGTGCCACCGACCATGGTGCCAGCATCTTCTGTGACAGAGTAAGTACAGATGATCAGGGGGGAGGGAGGGAGGTGTGTCTCTGGCCATAGCTAACTGTGCCACCGACCATGGTGCCAGCATCTTCTGTGACAGGAAGAGTACAGATGATCAGGGAGGGAGGTGTGTCTCAGGCCATAGCTAACTGTGCCACCGACCATGGTGCCATCATCTTCTGTGACAGGGTGAGTACAGATGATCAGGGAGAGAGGGAGGTGTGTCTCAGGCCATAGCTAACTGTGCCACCGACCATGGTGCCAGCATCTTCTGTGGCAGGGTGAGTACAGATGATCAGTGAGGGAGGGAGGTGTTTCTCAGGCCATAGCTTACTGTGCCACCGACCATGGTGCCAGCATCTTCTGTGACAGGGTGAGTACAGAGGATCAGGGAGAGAGGGAGGTGTGTCTCAGGCCATAGCTAACTGTGCCACCGACCATGGTTCCAGCATCTTCTGTGACAGAGTAAGTACAGATGATCAGGGAGGGAGGGAGGGAGGTGTGTCTCAGGCCATAGCTAACTGTGCCACCGACCATGGTGCCAGCATCTTCTGTGACAGGAAGAGTACAGATGATCAGGGAAGGAGGGAGGTGTATCTCAGGCCATAGCTAACAGTGCCACCGACCATGGTGCCAGCATCTTCTGTGACAGGGTGAGTACAGATGATCAGGGAGGGAGGGAGGTGTGTCTCAGGCCATAGCTAACTGTGCCACCGACCATGGTGCCAGCATCTTCTGTGGCAGGGTGAGTACAGATGATCAGTGAGGGAGGGAGGTGTTTCTCAGGCCATAGCTTACTGTGCCACCGACCATGGTGCCAGCATCTTCTGTGACAGGGTGAGTACAGAGGATCAGGGAGAGAGGGAGGTGTGTCTCAGGCCATAGCTAACTGTGCCACCGACCATGGTGCCAGCATCTTCTGTGACAGAGTAAGTACAGATGATCAGGGGGGAGGGAGGGAGGTGTGTCTCTGGCCATAGCTAACTGTGCCACCGACCATGGTGCCAGCATCTTCTGTGACAGGAAGAGTACAGATGATCAGGGAGGGAGGTGTGTCTCAGGCCATAGCTAACTGTGCCACCGACCATGGTGCCATCATCTTCTGTGACAGGGTGAGTACAGATGATCAGGGAGAGAGGGAGGTGTGTCTCAGGCCATAGCTAACTGTGCCACCGACCATGGTGCCAGCATCTTCTGTGGCAGGGTGAGTACAGATGATCAGTGAGGGAGGGAGGTGTTTCTCAGGCCATAGCTTACTGTGCCACCGACCATGGTGCCAGCATCTTCTGTGACAGGGTGAGTACAGAGGATCAGGGACAGAGGGAGGTGTGTCTCTGGCCATAGCTAACTGTGCCACCGACCATGGTTCCAGCATCTTCTGTGACAGAGTAAGTACAGATGATCAGGGAGGGAGGGAGGGAGGTGTGTCTCAGGCCATAGCTAACTGTGCCACCGACCATGGTGCCAGCATCTTCTGTGACAGGAAGAGTACAGATGATCAGGGAGGGAGGGAGGTGTATCTCAGGCCATAGCTAACTGTGCCACCGACCATGGTGCCAGCATCTTCTGTGACAGGAAGAGTACAGATGATCAGGGAGGGAGGGAGGTGTGTCTCAGGCCATAGCTAACTGTGCCACCGACCATGGTGCCAGCATCTTTTGTGACAGGGTGAGTACAAATGATCAGGGAGGGAGGGAGGTGTGTCTCAGGCCATAGCTAACTGTGCCACTGACCATGGTGCCAGCATCTTCTGTGACAGGGTGCGTACAGATGATCAGGGAGGGAGGGAGGTGTCTCTCAGGCCATAGCTAACTGTGCCACCGACCATGATGCCAGTATCTTCTGTGACAGAGTAAGTACAGATGATCTTGGAGGGAGGTGTGTCTCTGGCCATAGCTAACTGTGCCACCGACCATGGTGCCAGCATCTTTTGTGACAGGGTGAGTACAGATGATCAGGGAGGGAGGGAGGTGTGTCTCAGGCCATAGCTAACTGTGCCACCGACCATGGTGCCAGCATCTTCTGTGACAGGGTGAGTACAGATGATCAGGGAGGGAGGGAGATGTGTCTCAGGCAATAGCTAACTGTGCCACCGACCATGGTGCCAGCATCTTCTGTGACAGGGTGAGTACAGATGATCAGGGAGGGAGGTGTGTCTCAGGCCATAGCTAACTGTGCAACCGACCATGGTGCCAGCATCTTCTGTGACAGGGTGAGTACAGAGGATCAGGGAGAGAGGGAGGTGTGTCTCAGGCCATAGCTAACTGTGCCACCAACCATGGTGCCAGCATCTTCTGCTGCATGGTGAGTACAGATGTATTATAGAGGCAGGGAGCCATGTTATTCGGTCATTGCTTATTTTTTCAAGAATGGTCTTTGATTAAATAATTTCCTCACTTTTGACAAGACATGAACAATTTGGAACACACATTGTCATTATTTCAAAAGTGATTGCATGCCTGCATTCTGTTTGACTATATGTTTCTTATGCTTGTAGTTTAGTCAGTTAGTTTGAGTAATATTGTTAAGGAAAAGCATTCACAGTCTGATAATTACAAAGGTGTTTGCAAAATACCATTGGGAAGTTTGTAATTTTGTTGTTGTAATGTTTCCAATCCATTTCATTTTCAAACCAATACATTCAATCTTGAGGTTATGACCAATGCGCACACCACTGGAGTATGTTATAAGGATTCTGTGTTTCCTGCAGTCTGTGAGCCATGTGCTGACCCGGGGGGAGAGATGCGAGGGGGTGGTTCTGGTTGATGGCACTGAGATCAGAAGCAGGGTGGTGCTATCTAATGCTACCCCATCTGTCACATTCCTGGACCTGGTCAAGTCGGTGAGACATCACTCCAATACACTCATCAAATAAGAGACAAAGACTTCATGTTTAAAATCAATACGAAATGTTCAATGATATCTGTAATAAGATATCATATGTTTAACTCACCCGGCCTGAAGAGCCCACACAAGCTACAATAGGTGTTTTTTGTTGATAGATGGCATTGATAAATCTTAAACTGTTCATCTTGTCAACTTCATTTCTTAACCAAGCCGAGATCAACTTAACATGGCTTCTTTATGCCATGTTAAGTTACCAGAATAAATAATTCAATATGGGTTCAGGCAGGGATCATTAGAAAACCCAGTATGTGAGTACAGCTTCAATGGGATAGATGAAAAAAGAATTATGTTGGATATTTTAAAGATATATTACAAAAAAAAGAACAGGAAATTGCTGCAATGTTGTTAGTGATATATTGTTGAACTCAGATTTGCAGTTTGCATACCAGGTTAATTTGACTGTAACTTGTCTCTTTTAGAATGCAAGTGGTTATATGTTTGCAGGTATAATGAAGCAAAGAGGCCTTTGAAACACTTGAAACTTAAATGGCTATATAATACCTGCAAGTATTGAATTTGATCAAACTTTGGGTTGTCAGTGTCAAAGTGCTTGTTTAACCTTTGAATAGGAAATGTAATTATTAGAGTCAGGCATTGGCTGCAGTGTGGAAGGTAACCTCCCTGTTGTCAGACAGCTTTTACCGGGATTACTTAAGGTGCAGTGTACTAGTAATTGTTACCTGTTTACCTTAGTGTAAAGTGGAACATCCCTACACAGATGTCAGAGAACCAAATTATTATTGCGCAACCTTAGTTATGCAAATGTTCGACTGCATCCAAAAATGCAGCAGTCTCCCCTCAGACTCTCTGTACAACATCTTGGGTGGGTGAGCAGCAGTCTCCCTCAGACTCTGTACACCTTCTTGGGTGGGGGAGCAGCAGTCTCCTTCAGACTCTGTACACCTTCTAGGGTGGGGGAGCAGCAGTCTCCCCTCAAACTCTCTGTGCACCTTCTTGGGTGGGGGAGCAGCAGTCTCCCCTCAAACTCTCTGTACACCTTCTTGGGTGGGGGAGCAGCAGTCTCCCCTCAAACTCTCTGTACACCTTCTTGGGTGGGGGAGCAGCAGTCTCCCCTCAAACTCTCTGTACACTTTCTTGGGTGGGGGAGCAGCAGTCTCCCCTCAAACTCTCTGTACACTTTCTTAGGATGGGGAGCAGCAGTCTCCCCAGTCTCTCTGTACACCTTCTTGGGTGGGGGAGCAGCAGTCTCCCCTCAGACTTTGTACACCTTCTTGGGTGGGGGAGCAGCACCAAGTCTATCTGGGTCAGCTCAGCACCTGTTGTCTCAATCCCTTTTACCAGTTCTAAAAATCTGAAGAGGCTGGGGTGCTGATGTGGGAGACTGTGGTTTACATGATCATGGAAACCCTACATATACTACATGTGGGATTATACGCAAAAAGTGATGAGGTCTCTTACATAATGGGGAAACATGGTTTGTAAAAGGTCAAGGGCTAGAAATGGGAAATTAATTTTGTTACTTGTCTGTATGCCAAAATGCATTAGCGGGTAAAGGTCTGAAGGCCATGAATGTCTTGTATTCAAATATAAACTTGTGTAATGTTATGCCAAATACATATTGTCAACTATATGATTCATTTTACTAAGTTTACTAACTGAATAAACATGAACTCACTCATTCAATCTCTGGAGGGAGGCTATGTATTAGAGTCTGATTTTAAGATTGAACATTATATATTTGGGTTGTGGTGTTTTTTCCAGACCACCCTGCCTGACCATCTCACTGCTCAGCTCAAACACCTGGACTTCAAGTCTCCAGTCACAAAGATCAATGGTTAGAACAAAATATTATGCATTGAGTGTCACATAACCCCCATGACTGTATGGTCTGTGTCTTGTTGGACATCAGTTTGTACCATACCATCGCTGTCTCAAACTGGAAGAGACATACTCACCTAGGTCCAGGGTGGTTTATTTCTGGGCTGTTATGGATTATGGATAATGATCTACTGTAAGGAGTGGACAAAGAATCCTACATGTGCTGGCCATCTGGTTCACTGACTCCTTTGAACTCCTCTCATGTATTGATATGTAGATAGTCATTCCTTCACTGTTATTGACATGCCTTTGAGATTAGAATGATCAATATTTAATGTAATGTTGAAGGTATACCCATATATCAGATTAACTAGGTCTAAAAAAACCTGGGTAATTGTGGTTTATATTATGTAACAAATAAGCAGCTTGCCTAGAGCTCTGCTGTATGTATACTGAACCAAATTAAAAACTTCACAATCCCTAAAATTTTAATATTTTGACCAGTTATCATTGTGGGCCCTTATTGTGTATTTAAACAGTAATGGCCACATATTGTCTTCAAATTAAACCCGTTTTTGTGCAGGTGAATCAATCAAAATCATGTGCACAGCACTATAGTGGCAAAAGTGTTTTTTCACCTGCAACTGGTCACATGGCCATAATACCGCACGTGTTTTCAGCCATACTTGTTAGCAGTCATTAACAAACAAAAAAAACCACAAGAAAACAAAATTCTTTACGGCCATTTGTCATGCCTGGCCTTTCAAATGTGCAACGTGAACGTGCCATCGGCATGTTGCAGCTTAAGTCGCAAGGACGTTGGGTTGTAGTCGACGGACTGTTTATGATTTACAGACGCGTCTACAGCAAACGGGTACCACCGCTGATCGCCCTCGCCAGGTCGACCACGTGTGATGTCAAATGCAGAGGATCGTCAGATTATCTTACGTCACCTCCGTAACCGATTTTTGACGGCTACATCAACCAGAAATGAACTGTTTAGGGGTAGACTGAGTGCGCAAACTGTTCGAAAAACCGTCTGAGAACTGTTCACCTTCAAGGACGATGGCCATACTGCGGGCCGATTCTGACTCAATTACACAGACGTCAACGTCAATTGTGGGCACAGCAACACTTACAATGGACTCAGAGGAATTGGAATCAAGTCGTCTTCAGTGAAGAATCCCGATTTAAATTTTCGATTTGCTGATGGCAGGGCGAGGGTGTGGAGGCGCCGTCATGAACGTTACGCCCAGTGTTGTGTACAGGAAGTTGACAGATTTCGAGGCGGAAGTGTCATGGTGTGGGGTGCTTTCTGTGGCAATGCATGTTCCAGGCTTCTTGTCATCCGTGGCAACCTCAACGCTGCTGCTTACCGCGACCAGGTACTGGCACCAGAACTTCTGACTTTTATGGCAGCACATGGACCTGGTTTGAACTTCCAACACAACAATGCCAGACCCCACACAGCAATTTTTTACAAGGAATTTCCTTCAGAATACAGGAGTCAATGTCTCTCCAGAACCAACCACAGAATTTGCAAGATCTTGGCACCATTTTGCAGCAACAATGGTGTCGTCTTCCCAATCATGTGTTCACAAGCATCACTAGGTCCACGGGGAGGTGTTGTGTGGCAGTTGTCAACGCAAATGGTGGCCATACACGCTACTGAACTTGTGTGCCATCAGATTCTCGTGCCTCGGACTTATGATTTAAACTGTTGATGTTATTACCCAATACCGTAGGTGCTTGGAACAAATTATGGTTACCACCGTTAATTAAAATCCTTCTTTGGACATTAATGATTAAAAAGTTGCCTTCTCTGATACATTTGTCCGTTGTATATCATATATGGGATTGCTTTTAAAAATGTGAAGTTTTTAATTTGACTCAGTATATATTGAAGGTATGAGCCAGTTACCTGTGGAATCTACGGACCATGTTGCAAAAATAGGTTTTGCTTATTTTTCAGAATCTGTTGAACCAAATCTTCTGAAACTCAATTTAAATGTTTGTTTCCATGCCAAGGTGATACAAAATCATCAAAATAGATGTTACTTTTTGAAACAGAAAATCTAAGAAGAATTGTTGAAATTATTAGTAGTTCTCAGTATTTAGGCGAACATATTTGGATGACATGCTGACAGCAAGTTTTGTTAAATGTCTGGCTATATCGACCTTCTTAACTGTTGACTCCATATCCAGGGGAGCTACAGTGCACATCAGATCACTATTTAAAAAAAAAATTAACCACGTCAACAGATATTTGTGAAATGATAATCTAAGCTCCTTGGTTATTAACTTCACATTATATTGTTTCTTCTTTATTGTCCTCCTCAACTCTGACTTCCTGCATCTGGGCAGAAAACCTAGAACATCCCTAAGACAAGACTTAAGACTGTGTTTGCCTTGAAAAATTAGTGTCAGCAGTCTGTCTCCATGAAGTATCTGTCAGCAGGGATTGAATCTTCGACTTACATGATCTTCATCTGCTGTGTGATCAGTTGCAGTTGACAGGCTGCCCGACTTCCTAGCTGACCCCAACATCCATGACAACACTGTGATGCCACATCACCGCTGCACCATCCACATTAACTGTGAGGACAGCCGCCTCATCACTGATGCCTACTTGCAGTGTCAGGCAGGCCAGATGCCAACATGGTACCTACACATACCGTTACTTCATATCTCTTATGACAGGATGTTTCTTTCATTTTGTGTCATCCCAGCAAAGGTTGCAAAACTTAAATGGGCATTAGCATAGTGTCCAAGAGTATTGCACTTATATAGTGACATGCATGCACGTGTGTGTGTGGCTGCTTGTACTAGTCCACACTAATACTGATCTGTCAGTGCTAGCACACTGAGATACCATGTCAAAGACAGGTTAACAACAAGTACCATCTTTTGGTATGACGTGGCCGGGCATCAAACCCGAACGTTCTGCCCTCCTGGTAGACGCTCCACCACTAGACCACAGAAGCTGTCTAGTTTCTACAGACACAGCTGACCACAATTTACTTAAAGATAGTTTTCCACCATTATTGCTTATATTTATATACACAATCATCAAAATTGAAACTTTTTCTTTTGTGAATTTATTAAGAATTGATTCATTTTAGAATCTTTTTCAGAGATGTGAAATTGTATAAAGCAAATCTAATTGTTGTGGATCAGCAGCATTGCCCTTGGACCTTACAATTTTAGATCTTACATTCATTGTTGTAGATTAATGCATATTATTAAAGTTGTTTTATATACAGTCAAGTCTCATTAATCCGACACTCGTTAATCCGACACTCGGCTTTATCCGACACAAATGATGGGAACCGATTGATTCAGTGCTATTTAGTCCCGTTAATCCGACATTCTCGCACTCCGACTCCGACACACCTAATTTGCAACGAATTACCGAAATCACTCATTAATCAGTCTCGTTAATCCGACACAGTGGTCAGCGTACTCCGGGGTCATCTGCCCGCGAGTACACAACCCCGTGTTTTGACACGCACTGGCTGCAGAGATTAACTTAACAATTAACACTAGATGCCGGGATCATAAAGAATTTCAAGCTTTATTATAAGAAACAAATGAAATTACACCTCGACAATGTTGATGCTGAAGAACCACCAGCCCTAGACGTCAAGCGAACAGGGGACTGAAGCTGAAACTTTGCACGGAGGAGACCAGCTATAGTTACAATCTCATAACTGTACTACCTCACGGTGACCTACTTCCAATGAGTACTTCCTCACTGTGACCTACTTTCAATGTGTACTTCCTCACTGTGACCTACTTTCAATGAGTACTTCCTCACTGTGACCTACTTCCAATGAGTACTACCTCACTGTGACCTACTTTCAATGAGTACTACCTCACTGTGACCTACTTTCAATGAGTACATCCTCACTTTGACCTACTTTCAATGAGTAGCATGTGCCATGATTTCACTGTTATGTCAACGCGCATTGTTGACGGGGAATTAGCTCTTGGGGGAATAAAGAACAAAATCGACATCACTGTCCCGGAACGCTTTATGCACAACATGTAAACAATAAACAACAATTGCACAATGAACGGAATACCTGCTCTGACAACACAAACACAGCGATGAGCGGACCTTCCAGCTCAGGCATACATGAGGTGAGCGGAGCTCCAGCTCACCTCAGGACGTTTCCTACGAGCGGCACATCCTGCTTGAGGTCGTCCCTACACCAGCACTCGGAATACCAAGCTTGACCAACATCATGTAATGGGTACACATATATAGTAATGAACAACAATGGACAGCCAAAGAGACAATGACGTTGCTTTGGACATTGGACATATGGGCGTGATTAACCGACAGTTCAGGGGATGATCAATTAAGGCAATAAATGCCATACTATAAAAAGCAGTAGTTAAAGGGAAGAGATATGGTAGTCCAGGCTGACTGACAGTCCAAATACAATGAAATGTTGGTGAGGATTAACAACGGGGATTAGTGTCATATAAATAATGACAATTAAGTTATGGAGACATATACATGTCATGGCTACAGGGTAATTAGCCTTTGGAGTAAAATGTACTTCATACAATGGTAGTCGTAAATCAGTCGCCATGACAGTTACATTGATTCTGACAAGGAATAAATTTTGCTTACATTATGTATGTATAGACACAGGGAATTTCCTTGAGACATTTGACTAATATTTGAAGGTCAAATTCACTCTCAGGGTCATATAATTGTATTATTCAAATGGCAACAGGATTTGCTGGGACAACACTAGCAATGCCTTTAGACAGGAAATGTATTCAGGTTTCTTATTAAGCTAGAATCAAGGTCCTTGTAAGTTGGTTTGAGATAATAGTGGTATGTAATGATTTCTTGGACCTTGAGGAAATGGCAGTGAGATTGCTTCTGTTTTTGTATGAACTTGCAGACACATTTTTCATTTGTTTGCTGGTAACACACATTGTACCATGCAGCCCAGTGATTGAGATGGTGATCCCCTCCAGCCTTGACCCCACCCTGGCCCCGCCTGGGAGTCATGTGGTCCTGCTGTTCACTCAGTACACCCCCTACACCCTCGCTGGGGACCGGCCCTGGGACGATACTACCAGGAACCAGTATGCTGACATAGGTAACCACACCCTACGCATTTTCTGGCGGCATACTAATGTGCCCCAACACTGACAGGTGTATCTGGGACAACTTGTCCCCTCATATTAAAACAGGATAGCTCACAAAGGACCACTTGTACAGTGTGGGCAAATGTGGGACCACTGTTCCCATCAATACTGAAACAGGATAGCTCGCAGGGGACCACTTGAACAGTGTGGGTAAATGTGGAACCACTGTTCCCATCAAGACTGAAACAGGATAGCTCATAGGGGACCACTTGAACAGTATAGGTAAATGTGGGACCCCTGTTCCCCTTAAGACTGAAACAGGATAGCTTATAGGGGACCACTTGCACAGTGTGGATAAATGTGGGACCACTGTTCCCATCAAGACTGAAACAGGATAGCTTATAAGGGACCACTTGAACAGTATAGGTAAATGTGGGACCCCTGTTCCCCTTAAGACTGAAACAGGATAGCTTATAGGGGACTTCTTGAACAGTGTGGGTAAATGTGGGACCACTGTTCTCCACAAGACTGAAACAGGATAGCTCATAGGGGACCACTTGAACAGTATAGGTAAATGATGGACCACTGTCCTCCACAAGACTGAAACAGGATAGCTCACAGGGGACCACTTGAACAGTATAGGTAAATGATGGACCACTGTTCTCCACAAGACTGAAACAGGATAGCTCATAGGGGACCACTTGAACAGTATAGGTAAATGATGGACCACTGTTCTCCACAAGACTGAAACAGGATAGCTCACAGGGGACCACTTGAACAGTGTGGGTAAATGTGGGTCCACTGTTCTCCACAAGACTGAAACAGGATAGCTCATAGGGGACCACTTGAACAGTATAGGTAAATGATGGACCACTGTTCTCCACAAGACTGAAACAGGATAGCTCACAGGGGACCACTTGAACAGTGTGGGTAAATGTGGGACCACTGTTCTCCACAAGACTGAAACAGGATAGCTTATAGGGGACCACTTGAACAGTGTGGGTAAATGTGGGACCACTGTTCCCATCAAGACTGAAACAGGATAGCTCACAGGGGACCAATTGAACAGTGTGGGTAAATGTGGAACCACTTTTCTCCACAAGACTGAAACTGGATCCCTGGGACCACTACAACAATACAGGTGAATAAATGAGATGGTGTTATACTGTTTTGAGATAATCTATATTCGACATCACAAATCATGGAGATCTGGAACTCAGCACAGGAAACAGAACTTAATGTTACACGGACTGTATAATTTAATGTACATAATCCTCTTTCCCTACACAAGTCATTGGTAAATCTTGTAAAAGGTATGACAAGTCCTTAAATGAACTAAAAGTGTCTTTAAGTGTGTTGATGTCACATGTTATAAATGTTCAGATCCTCCATATCTGTCTGGAAGGAACGGATGACTGGAATGGCATCTAACACATTCATGTCTTATAATCTTTATCAGGCCTACAGGCCACAGGTTATTCTGCCCAAATAGCAAGAATAAGTCCTCTAGTAAATCTGGGGTCACAGTATTCCACAGTACTCAAACAGTATACAAAAAATACTATGGGTATATCTGAGATCAGAAAAACACTACAAATCTCATTTTGCATTTTGAATATTTCAGTGTTTGACAGTATAGAGAAGTATGCCCCAGGCTTCAAGAAAAGCGTCATCGGACAAGATATACTGACACCACCAGACCTAGAGGAGATCTTTGGCCTGACTGGTGGGGTAAGACAGTGACAGTTGCTGGATCTTCTCCTCTCGTCTTATGTATATAGAAAGTAGTTCCATATTTCAATCAACTATTACGAAAGCTATTGTACAAGTGTAGATTGCTAAAGGTATTTATATAATCTATCATCATTTTGAATCTGGGGATTTCCAAGAGGGATACATCTGTGCTCAATCATTATACAAACAGTAAGTATTTATCAACTCAACAACACTGGCTATGTATTTACTTTAAGTGTTAGCATGGTGAAACAGAAGAAAAAGTCTTCCTGCTGGTATATTCCATATATTTCATGTAAAATATTGAAAACTGGACAACTTGATATATTAACACTGATATTGACATCTTTATTGTTTAATACTGTGGTCAGTAATATTCCAGCAATATGATGGCAGCCTAGAATCTTTTAACCCAAGTCACAGAGGCTGTTCATTTAGTAATCTCATCAAAGATCTTTTACCGTTGCGATACAGCTCTTTATGAAGATCTGACAAATCCTCTACAGGTCCATCCGGGGAACTTCATATCAAATTACATGTATATACACTTACATAGGAAATGTCTGAGCACCATGGTACAACACCCAAAAGACAAAGTATTGATGGTATATTTTGTTCTGTGTTTTACTTTGTTTGGATATAAATTTCGGAATCAAAGCTGTAATGAAAAGAAGCCAAATCATTTTGGGAAGCTCCAATCTGATTGGACTCCACAGATCCTTCATATAGATCGAGTGGTCAAAGTCTGCTCAGGGAACCCACAGATCGTCTCAGTGAGGAGAGGTGAGGTGAAATGGACTTTAACGTCACATCCAAGATTATTGCACTTACATAGAAACGTGCAGGCACGTGTGTTGACTGTGACTATATGGAGACAATGTTGTTGACAGTGACCATATGGAGACAAAGTAGCTGACAGTGACCATATGGTGACAAAGTTGTTGACAGTGACCATATGGGGACAAAGTTGTTGACAGTGACCATACTGACACAATATCTTAGACAGTGACCACATATGGATGTTTGTTTAACATGTTTCTTAATGTTTTGTTATTATTCAGAATATTTTTCATGGGGCAATGTCATTGGACCAGCTGTTTCTTAGTCGACCAATTCCAGCGCTTTGCAACTATCGGTGTCCAATCAGAGGCCTGTATCTATGTGGCAGTGGAGCACACCCAGGTAGCAAAACAAAAGTGTATATGTATAAACTTGGAAGATGTTTTAATGTTGAGTATTTATATGTATATATTCCTGGTTACTGGAGGTGGTGTGGTAGGTTCTTTGGGGAGACTGTTGAGTATTTATATGTATATATTCCTGGTTACTGGAGGTGGTGTGGTAGGTTCTTTGGGGAGACTGTTGAGTATTTATATGTATATATTCATGGTTACTGGAGGTGGTGTGATGGGTTCTTGGTTAGACTGTTGAGTATTTATGTGTATATATTCATGGTTCCTGGAGGTGGTGTGATGGGTTCTTTGGGGCGACTGATGGATATTTATATGTATATATTCATGGTTACTGGAGGTTGTGTGATTTGTTCTTTGGGGAGACTGATGAATATTTATATGTATATATTCATGGTTACTGGAGATGGTGGTGTAGGTTCTTTGGGAAGACTGTTGAGTATTTAAATGTATATATTCATGGTTACTGGAAGTGCTGTGATGGGTTCTTTGGAGAGACTGTTGAGTATTTATATGTATATATTCATGGTTACTGGAAGTGGTGTGGTGGGTTCTTTGGGGAGACTGTTTAGTATTTATTTGTATATATTCATGGTTCCTGGAGGTGATGTGGTAGGTTGTTTCGGGAGACCTATGATTATTTATAGGTTCTTTGGGGAGACTGTTGAGTATTTATATGTATACATTCATGGTTACTGGAGGTGGTGTTGTAGGTTCTTTGGGGAGACCTATCATTATTTATATGTATATATTCATGGTGACTGGAGGTGGTGTGGTAAGTTCTTTCGGATTAGGGTTGAGTATTTATATGTGTTTATTCATGGTTACTGGAGGTGGTATGATAGGTTCTTTTGGGGAGACGGTTGAGTATTTATATGTAAATATTCATGGATACTGGAGGTGGTGTGGTAGGTTCTTTGGGGATACTGATGAATATTTATATGTATATATTCATGGTTACTTGAGGTGGTGTGATGGAATCTTTGGGAAGACTGTTGAGTATTTATATGTATATATTCATGGTTCCTTGATGTGGTGTGGTAGGTCCTTTAGAGAGACCTATGATTGTTTATATGTATATATTCATGGTTACTGGAGGTGGTGTGGTAGGTTCTTTGGGGTTATGGTTGAGTATTTATATGTATATATTCATGGTTCCTGGAGGTGGTGTGGTGGGGTTTTTTTTGGGAGACTGTTGCGTATTTATATGTACATGTATATATTCCTGGTTCCTGGAGGTGGTGCGATGGGTTCTTTGGGGAGACCTATGATTATTTATATGTATATATTCATGGTTACTGGAGGTGGTGTGATGGGTTCTTTCGGGAGACTATTGAGTATTTATATGTATATATTCATGGTTACTGGATATGGTGTGATGGGTTCTTTGGGGGACTGTTGAGTATTTATATGAATATATTCATGGTTACTTGAGGTGGTGTGGTAGGTTGTTTGGGGAGACTGATGAATATTTATATGTATATATTCATGGTTACTTGAGGTGGTGTGATGGGTTCTTTGGGGGACTGTTGAATATTTATATGTATATATTCATGGTAACTGGAGGTGATGTGATGGGTTCTTTGGGGAGACTGTTGAGTATTTATATGTATATATTCATGGTTACTGGAGGTGGTGTGGTGGGTTCTTGGATAGACTGTTGAGTATTTATATGTATATATTCATGTTTGCTGGAGGTGGTGTGATGGGTTCTTTGGGGAGACTGATGCATATTTATATGTATATATTCATGGTTACCGAAGGTGGTGTGATGGGTTCTTTGGGGAGACTGATGAATATTTATATGTATATATTCATGGTTCCTGGAGATGGTGGTGTAGGTTCTTTGGGAAGACTGTTGAGTATTTACATGTATATATTCATGGTTACTGGAAGTGGTGTGATGGGTTCTTTGGGGAGACCGTTGAGTATTTATATGTATATATTCATGGTTACTGGAAGTGGTGTGGTGGATTCTTTGGGGAGACTGTTTAGTATTTATTTGTATATATTCATGGTTCCTGGAGGTGATGTGGTAGGTTGTTTCGGGAGACCTATGATTATTTATAGGTTCTTTGGGGAGACTGTTGAGTATTTATATGTATACATTCATGGTTACTGGAGGTGGTGTTGCAGGTTCTTTGGGGAGACCTATCATTATTTATATGTATATATTCATGGTGACTGGAGGTGGTGTGGTAAGTTCTTTTGGATTAGGGTTGAGTATTTATATGTGTTTATTCATGGTTACTGGAGGTGGTATGATAGGTTCTTTTGGGGAGACGGTTGAGTATTTATATGTATATATTCATGGTTACTGGAGGTAGTGGGGTAGGTTCTTTGGGGAGACTGAGGAATATTTATATGTATATATTCATGGTTACTGGAGATGGTGGTGTAGGTTCTTTGGGAAGACTGTTGAGTATTTAAATGTATATATTCATGGTTACTGGAAGTGCTGTGATGGGTTCTTTGGAGAGACTGTTGAGTATTTATATGTATATATTCATGGTTACTGGAAGTGGTGTGGTGGGTTCTTTGGGGAGACTGTTTAGTATTTATTTGTATATATTCATGGTTCCTGGAGGTGATGTGGTAGGTTCTTTGGGGAGACCTATGATTATTTATAGGTTCTTTGGGGAGACTGTTGAGTATTTATATGTATACATTCATGGTTACTGGAGGTGGTGTTGTAGGTTCTTTGGGGAGACCTATCATTATTTATATGTATATATTCATGGTGACTGGAGGTGGTGTGGTAAGTTCTTTCGGATTAGGGTTGAGTATTTATATGTGTTTATTCATGGTTACTGGAGGTGGTATGATAGGTTCTTTTGGGGAGACGGTTGAGTATTTATATGTAAATATTCATGGATACTGGAGGTGGTGTGGTAGGTTCTTTGGGGATACTGATGAATATTTATATGTATATATTCATGGTTACTTGAGGTGGTGTGATGGAATCTTTGGGAAGACTGTTGAGTATTTATATGTATATATTCATGGTTCCTTGATGTGGTGTGGTAGGTCCTTTAGAGAGACCTATGATTGTTTATATGTATATATTCATGGTTACTGGAGGTGGTGTGGTAGGTTCTTTGGGGTTATGGTTGAGTATTTATATGTATATATTCATGGTTCCTGGAGGTGGTTTGGTGGGGTTTTTTTTGGGAGACTGTTGCGTATTTATATGTACATGTATATATTCCTGGTTCCTGGAGGTGGTGCGATGGGTTCTTTGGGGAGACCTATGATTATTTATATGTATATATTCATGGTTACTGGAGGTGGTGTGATGGGTTCTTTCGGGAGACTGTTGAGTATTTATATGTATATGTTCATGGTTACTGGATATGGTGTGATGGGTTCATTGGGGGACTGTTGAGTATTTATATGTATGTATTCATGGTTACTTGAGGTGGTGTGGTAGGTTGTTTGGGGAGACTGATGAATATTTATATGTATATATTCATGGTTACTTGAGGTGGTGTGATGGGTTCTTTGGGGGACTGTTGAATATTTATATGTATATATTCATGGTAACTGGAGGTGATGTGATGGGTTCTTTGGGGAGACTGTTGAGTATTTATATGTATATATTCATGGTTACTGGAGGTGGTGTGATGGGTTCTTGGATAGACTGTTGAGTATTTATATGTATATATTCATGTTTGCTGGAGGTGGTGTGATGGGTTCTTTGGGGAGACTGATGCATATTTATATGTATATATTCATGGTTACCGAAGGTGGTGTGATGGGTTCTTTGGGGAGACTGATGAATATTTATATGTATATATTCATGGTTCCTGGAGATGGTGGTGTAGGTTCTTTGGGAAGACTGTTGAGTATTTACATGTATATATTCATGGTTACTGGAAGTGGTGTGATGGGTTCTTTGGGGAGACCGTTGAGTATTTATATGTATATATTCATGGTTACTGGAAGTGGTGTGGTGGATTCTTTGGGGAGACTGTTTAGTATTTATTTGTATATATTCATGGTTCCTGGAGGTGATGTGGTAGGTTGTTTCGGGAGACCTATGATTATTTATAGGTTCTTTGGGGAGACTGTTGAGTATTTATATGTATACATTCATGGTTACTGGAGGTGGTGTTGTAGGTTCTTTGGGGAGACCTATCATTATTTATATGTATATATTCATGGTGACTGGAGGTGGTGTGGTAAGTTCTTTTGGATTAGGGTTGAGTATTTATATGTGTTTATTCATGGTTACTGGAGGTGGTATGATGGGTTCTTTTGGGGAGACGGTTGAGTATTTATATGTATATATTCATGGTTACTGGAGGTAGTGGGGTAGGTTCTTTGGGGAGACTGATGAATATTTATATGTATATATTCATGGTTACTTGAGGTGGTGTGGTAGGTTGTTTGGGGTTATTGTTGAGTATTTATATGTGTTTATTCATTGTTACTGGAGGTGGTATGATGGGTTCTTTGGGGAGACTAATGAATATTTATATGTATATATTCATGGTTACTTGAGGTGGTGTGGTAGGTTCTTTGGGGTTATTGTTGAGTATTTATATGTGTTTATTAATTGTTACTGGAGGTGGTATGATGGAATCTTTGGGGAGACTAATGAATATTTATATGCATATATTCATGGTTACTTGAGGTGGTGTGATGGAATCTTTGGGAAGACTGTTGAGTATATATATGTATATATTCATGGTTACTGGAGGTGGTGTGATGGGTTCTTTGGGGGACTGTTGAATATTTATATGTATATATTCATGGTAAAGGGAGGTGATGTCATGGGTTCTTTTGGGAGACTATTGAGTATTTATATGTAAATATTCATGGGTACTGGAGGTTGTGTGATGGGTTCTTTGGGGAGACTGTTGAGTATTTATATGTTTATATTTATGGTTACTGGAGGTTGTGTGATGGGTTCTTTGGGGGATTGTTGAGTATTTATATGTATATATTCATGGTAACTGGAGGTGGATTGATTGGTTCTTTGGGGGACTG